CAGACCACTGGAGCAGCTGCTGGGGATGGTGACACATGGCAGGGGGGTCACAGACGCCTTCCAGAGCCAGGAGGCCCCCCCAAGAGCAATGATATGGGGGTCACAGACCCCTGGAGCAGCTGCCACCAATTGTGGCCCAGGTAGTCACTGTGCAAAAAGCCCCCCAAAAATGGGCTGGGGGTGCAGGTATCCCCCCTACCCTGCTCACCTGGCCAGGCCTGCAGCAGGTAATGCAACACCTCGATGTGCCTCTTGAAGTCAACGGCACTGGCGATGTCCTCGCTGTGGGCATAGCTGCGGTTGCCGGTGCCGGTACCGGTGCCGGAGCGCCGGGGCTCCTGGTTCTGGGTGAGCAGGACGGGCCCGAAGCAGACGGCGATGTTCTGCGAGTTCATGCGGTTGAAATCGTGGAAGGAGGCCACCAGGCTGAGGTGGTCCAGGAGCCGCGTCAGTGTGGCCTGGGGGACAAGGTGGCATCAACAGGGATGTCCTCTGATGCCACCCCGTTGTCCCACACCCTCCCAAAACAGAGCAGAGGGGAATCGCCCCAGGGGACTTGGCTGTGGATGGTCCCTGGAGCCGAGTCACACAGTGAATGCAGAGGTGGAAATAAATGCTTAAATATCAGAGGGATGTGAAGACCTGCCCCGACCCCCCCCCCAAAAAAAAATTCTTGGGGGGGTCCTGAGTAGGGAGGTGACACAGGGACATGCCCCATGTCACAGGTCAAGAAATAAGGACTGTCTGCAGTGGCGAGTTGGGATGGGGGGAGACCACGGGGCTGAGCAGCAATGAGATCCCCCCCCGTAATCCCTCACCACAACTGGGCACCCCCTTTTTTGGTGCTGGGCACCCCCTTTTTTGGTGCTGGGCACTCACCTTCTCAACATCGGGCAGGCAGTCGAGCAGGGTGACAGCGTCCCGCTCTCCTGGGGGGGTCCGGAGGGGTCGCTTGGCCATGGCCTCCAGCACAACGTGGTAGAGTGTGGGGGTGATGAGCGGCGTGGGCAGCTCCCGCAGGTAATCCTTGAGGATCCCTGCAGGTGACAGGACGCAGGGGGGGACGGGACATCAAGTGTGGTCCCGTGGGGTGCACGGGAACCTGCAGGGGCACCCCCACCCCAGGACGAGCACCCACCCGTGATGACGTTGATGTCGGGGTAGAGCTGCTCTGAGAGCGTCACGGCCGCGCTGTCCCTCTCAAAGGCGTCACGAAGCTCTTTCTTGACAGCGGCTGAGCCACAGAGCCGGTACAATCCCACCACCTGCAAACGGGGACACCGTCACTGTGGTTTTGGGGGGGTTCATCCACCGCAGCCCCCTACAGCCGTCACTGTAAGTCCCCGCTCACCTTCAGCCCTCGTTTCTCTATCTCGGCCACGCATTTCTGGATGAGCAGAGGCACTTTGGTGGCCGTCTTCTCCCTCTCCACCAGCTGGCCCAGCTCCACGCCGAAGACACGGGGTTCCCGATCACCAGGACTGTCCCACTGCTCCACCAAGGTGAATTTGGAGTAGAGGATACCGCGAGGTTGCAGCCGCACTGCCAGCTGCTGGGCCCGGCAACCTGTGGAGCCGAGCGGTGCTGTCAACAGGGTGCCGAGTCACCAAAACCCAAACCGACCCCACCACCCGGCCATACCTCTGAAGATGTGGGGCAGGACCACAGTGCCATGGCAGCAGAGACGGTTGCGGCAAGAGGTGGGATCCCAGGAGAAGACGATCACCTTGAGGTGCCGGGCACCCTCCAGCTCCAGGTTGAAGGTGTGGTTGAGGCCGAGGAACGCCGTCTTGCAGGGCAGCAAAGCTGTGCGAGCCCGGTTGGCCGCATCCACCTGCAAGACGCAGAAAACCTCCCGGGCTTCGGCCCGTGGTGGCTTCAGGTCCCGCACGCCGTGGAGGTGGACGCTCACCAGCCCCGAGATGTGTTGCCCGCACCGTGGCGGCATCTCCCCGCAGCTGTAGGGGCGGAAAGCGCCCACATCCAGCCCGTTTTCCCCATCCTCCGGTTCGGCACGCACCCCGGCTTTAGCCGGCAGCTCTGGGGAGTCGCCGTCACTCAAGTAGCCGCCTTTGCCAGCCGCTTTGGCTCGCGGCAGCCCTGGCCGTGAAGCCACGCTGCTGTCTAGGTGGTAGCGGCTGATGACGTTGCTGGATTCCTTGCGGCTTTCGGAGGGCGAGGTGCCACCCTCTTGGCCCCGGGGACGGGGGCTGCGTAGGCTCAGCTTCCTCCGTAGCTCCGGCAGCTTCTTCATCTTCATGGAGAGACGACGTACGGTACCTGGGGACTTCACCTTGTTGAGGGAACGGCCCTTCTTGGGGCTGGTGGGGGGCGAGGGGGTGGTCAGCCCTGTCCCCGAGCTCACGCATGGGATCGGCATCTTCACTGTGGGGGGGAAAAAGGGGTGAGTGGGTCCTGGGGGCGTGCACTGGGAAGCCTGGGTGGGCCAGGGCTGCTCCCCAGAAACTGCTGTGGGGTGGAGGGAGGGTCCCGTGGGATGGGGTGGTGGTGGGGACGACGACAACAATGTCCTGGGGGATAGGGAAGGGATGGAGACTGCAGGGTCTGGGGGACACTTCCCTGGGGGGGGGACAGGGACTGTGGGGTCCAGAAGACGGTCTCCTGGGGGATGGGGAAGGGATGGGGACTGTAGGGTCCAGGAGACATCCTTGGGGACAGGGATGGTGAGGTCCCTTCTGGGAAGGGACAGAAACCACTGGCCTGGGGATAGGGAAGGGATGGGGACCAAGGGATTGGGATGGTGCTGTCCTAGGTGACAGGGACCATGGGGTCCGGGGGACACGGACCATTGGGTCTGGGGACCATGGGGTACAGGGGACACCAGGGACAGGGACTATCAGGTTTAGGGACCACAGGGTCCAGAAAACCTCATGGGGGACAGAGAAAGGACAAAGACCACAGGGTACTGCAGATGGAGACAGGACCGTGTCCAGGGGACACTCTCCTGGAGGGGTGACAGGAGGACAAGGGCTTTGGGGGACCGGGGGCCACCACTGTCCCACCTCTCCGACCTGTAGTCACGTGCCGGCCCTCACCACAAGCCTGGGTCCTGCTGACTCCCTGCTCCTCTCCTCGGCCAGCCGTGGACAGCGCTGGGGCCGTGCTGCTGCGAGGTCCGGAGCTCTCTGCCATCCCCAAACCACCACGGGGGGGGTCTTCCCTACCCGTCTTCGGGGGTGACTCCCCACCACGGCCCCTCTCGATGTCACGACTCCCTCCGCTCCATGTCTTCCAGGAGCTCCCAGGCTGGGGGTCCTCATCTTCGGGGATGGGATTGTACCAAATCTCGCCCTCGCTGCCAGCAGCGCCGGCATCCACCTCAGCTCCACCGCCCAGCTCATCCAGGCCTGGTCCCTTCACCGACGACAGCACCCAGTGCCGGCTGCTCCGCTCCAAACTCTGCAGGTAGGCACCGTGCCCAGGGCTCCTACTGAGACCACCCAGCTCCCCAGAGCCGTTCACCGCCTCGGCTTCCTCCGCCGGCTCCATGTCTTCCTCGCTGGGCTGCTCAATGCCGGGCCGGGGACTGCTAGCAGCAGGGTCCGGCTTGCTGGCATCTGCCGGATCTGGGGTGGCTTTGGGAGGCAGTAGCTGCCTCTCATCGCGGCCGCCGCAGGAAAACCGGGCCCAATTTTGCTTGCGGGATGCTGCCGGCACCGGCTCCACCGATGCCGCCTCGGGGTCCACCGGAGAATCAGGGCTTGGCGGAGGATGCTCTGTGGGAGGAAGGAAAAGAGCTGGGCTGAGTACGGGGGTTCCCAAAACACCAACGGGGAGCCCACCGGGACACGAGGACCTCCCTCTCTTGTCCGTCCGCCCCCGAGCATTCCGCCATGCCACCCACCATCCTCACCCTGAATCCGTTGCCGTCCCGAATGGGACCCCCCTTCCCCATGCCGGCTCTGCCGGGGCGGCGGGCAGGCGCAGGCAGCTGCGCGTAGACCCTTGCCAAGCGGGATTTCCGGTTGTTTACTGCTGGCCGGACCCGTGGCCGTGCTCCCACCGCCCTGGTGTGGGCAAGGGGAGCCGCAGCAAGGAAATGGGGGGGGGCATGGCTGAACCCCTCTGCACCCCAATAGGGACAGGGCGCACCCCAATAGGGATGGGGGTGGCTCTGCCCGTGTCCCTTGGCTCTGTGCCGCAAGGCAGGGTCCTGTCCCCCCCTGCCTCACACACACACACGGGGGGGGTCACCCCAATAGTGCACCCCCATTCCCTGCACACACACCCCCAGTTCATTTGTGCCCCCCCCCCGTTGTCTGCATCCCTCCAACTTGTGCATCCCAATCTCCCCTCACACCTCTCTACCCTGTGCAGCCCAACGTCCCCTGCCTTGTGACCCCAATCCCCCTGCACCCACAGCCCCCCCACCGTGGCACCCCATGGACCCCCACAATCTCCAGGATCCTCCCCCCCAGCCCCATGACACCATGGCTCGGTGTGGGGCTTCCCCAGAGATGTGGGGTGGGGGCAGGAGGGACCTGGGGGGGGGAGCCTCCAATTGCTGTAGGGTACTGAGGGAGCTGGGTGATGGGTGCCCCTTCCTTGGGGGGCAGGAGGGAAAATGGGGACATGGAGCGGGGGGGCTTGCTGGGGGAACAGGACCCCAGGGTAATGGGAGACCCTTTCTGGGGGGGTGGGAGATATCCCTTCG